AACATTATTCAATTTTTCCAGCCAATATTTTTGCTGTAGCGCCTAAATTTTAACAACTAATAAATTTTAGACTTTGGCAGTAACAATATTAGTTGTCCTTATATTTTAAAAACCCACATTAGCTGCTACGGCTATATTTTAGCTGCGTTGGCCAATCCTTTCTCTGTCTGTGACGCACCCACACAACACCAGGCTATATCAAACGGCCGCACTCTTCAACAACTGCGGCTAAAATTATATATGCCACTCAACATGACTATTCGAAAAGGTTCACACTATGTAGTTCAACAGTCGTCCGATAAATGGCGTCAATGGGGTGGCTGCAAAAAAATCAGTCCGGGAACTTATGGACCGCACTGTGTATATATATATATATATAATTTATATTAAGTTATTATAATTTATTTTATATGTAGATATATATATATATATATATATTAAATTATATTACACACATAAAGATTTTAAATATAAATTATTTTAGCACAATGTTTTAACAGAGATCTGACTGCACTCTACAAATATTTTTTGAGTACAATTAAACATTGGAAAATTTAACTGTTGAATTTTTCTGCGTATATATAGAGATTTGTGAATTTGAAATATAGGTATGTTTCGTTATTAAAGCGATGTCGGCCTATCGACGCGATATAACGCTTCTTATCTTTCTCTCGAGACAAACGTGTGTTTCGACATGTAATTCCTATCGTTCACGCTTGTTAATGGAAAACAATGCGTTCAAGTAGACGCGGCCTAAGGAACGTATAAAAAAACATATCAGAGACCTATGCGTCTCTGACAAACATCTAAATATATATGCATACACGTATCTATAATGTATACACATGATTATCAACAGTGAAAATATTTCGAGATAAGCGTAGTATATCTACAACTGCGTAACGATAACGCGATGCGTATCAAAGAGTCGCAGTATGGTATTACACACATATCGATCTACTTGGCTCCTATCAAGAATCATTTTACGCTTGGAATACGTTCAGAAATAATTACAGTATATGCGGGCGAATATATGTAACGAAATGCATGACTTCAAATTTCAGATTTAGATGTTCTCTCTACCGCGTAACGTATTTTCCTTTTTTTTCGATAGTCACTATGGTCCTAGGATCGTGCTTGTCGACTGATAATGAATGTGCATTTATATGAATGTGAAAAAGGGATAGTAATGCAATTTGCGTAATTTTGGAAATTTTGAAAACTATATGAAAGTTAGTAATGTTACACTACTGCGTAGACAATCGGATATATCTCTCAATTAAAAACGAGTGACTTTTAAATCTATTAAATTCTCTTCTATATATCCTTTACGGTTTTTTACCTTTCTTTTCTACTTGTCAAAATTAAATCGATTTTTTTTGTAGGAAACTATATTTTTAAACAACAATGTACGACGTATTTGAATAACAATACACGAGATATTTGATCTACGCAGTTTAATCCAAATTTCCATTTGTAGAATTTTGTACTTACACGATAGTTTTTGAGAATGGATTAATCTTGGAAATGGAAAACCACCTGTATGATACCGTATATCGAGAGAGGGAAACTTGATTCGAACGATTTATGTACTCACACAAAAAAAAGCGAAAGAGAGCTTCGAATTTTCAGTTTTGTAACAATGTGAACGACCTTGCAAAATCTACCAATCTTTTATCCTTAAAGAGCCAGTAAAAGAGAGAGAGAGAAATCACTATAGAGAGATAATATCGAAGTATTATCGAAAAGTATTGACAAAATATATGACGTATCATTCGTCACTTTACGAAATTATAAACTATAAACATACCTCACAATGTTACGAATATCTCTGCCAAAGTTGATCTATTTTTATAAATATGTATAGATATATATCCTTCTCCATCTTTGTCATAATTTGTCTATCTTGACTATCATCTATGGTGCCGATTTTTACTGTATAAGAGATATATGTATATTTCTATTAGGTACTTCGAAATATGAAATTTAGACATTTCGAATATGTGCCGTTATACTTTTGTATGTAATCTACCAAAGTGAGAGCAGATATTCCTGAATATATATGTTATTTGTTAAATTTTGAAAACACGATTGCTAGGACGATATTGATAGGGTCGAATTTATCGTATATGATAATTTTGACAAAGATTAAGATTTTCTAATCATTATATAATCGCCTCCTGTTCTTCCGTTGTAATATATACATAAAAATGATTTTTTTGAATAAATGTTCCTAAATTCTAGTAACGAGTACACGATTGTACAATTTTATGAAAAGTCTGTTTATTATACTTTCTTGATACAATTGTTCTTTTATTATCTCTCTAAAAAATTGATACAAGATTTATAAAAAGAATATTAGTCTTCTTTTAACTGCAAAATTTTCTGCAAACTCCTCTATGCGTCCATGCGACAATCAAATTATTTTTTTATCGATTGCGGCGATTGCGCTATATTATATCTGTAATTAGAACTAAATGTTTATGTCAAAATAAAAGCGACATGCGAGATATAGCTGTTATTTAAATTTTGGTTTAAGTCCCCTGCAGATAACATGCAGAGTTAAAAAAAATTTATTCGTATATATTCAGTCGTATATCATCAATTCTGAATTTATTTTCAAGTGCAAAAAGAATTTTTCTTCAGAACTTCTAGAAAAAAAATCTTTTTTGCATCTGAAAGTTAACTCGCAATCAGAATAATTGATGACATACGACTAAATTCTTTTTGAAGTGCTATGTGGGATCAGTGTTATTCTTTAAATCATATACATATTCCTTCGTTATCATTGTATTTAAAAAATTGATTAATGTATACCTGTACACTCTTTTTTGTATAAATCATTAAAATAGATGTACAAAATAAAAAAAATATATTTATTGAATACTCATGCGTTATGTAAAAACATCTCACCTAGAAATTATTATTTATTAAATTTTTGTTATTATTTAGAAATTAATACTTATACTTAAAAACGTTTTTTTTTAATAGTGCACGTCTACCTATACATTTTTAAATATTTCAAAATTATTATCCCTTGAACTATTAATTTGACTAAATTAACAGATAATAATTTTAAGTATTCTATTTTTTATTGTTATTGTATGTATATATGTATAACGTGTACGTTGCTTTACGATACTGCCCTCTACTATACATATTGATCCATATTGGTTCACACATTGCCTATCACGAGGCCGGTAAAACAGAATGGTTTCTGTCAAAATGGCCGAGTGTTCGTAGAAGGTTAAATTCTAATCGCCGGAAGAAGTCGTTTGGGTGTGCGAACCGATCATTCAAAGCCTGCGAATAACGGGCGGGCCCATTTTCCCGAGGATATGTTGTCGTCCGGTAAACGCAGTTTATCCAAAGAGGACATTAAAGCCGCGGACAAAGATGAGAAAGTGAGTATGCCTCATCGTCGCATCGGCGTACGTCGAAGAATACGCAGCGTTCGAAAATGACGTCACGCTTGGCGGGAAACTTGACATATGTTTGAACTGTGTTTTGCAGGAGTCGCTATTGGAACACGACAGTGATCTCGATGAGGAGATGCTGTTCACGTAAGATAGAAAATTATTTTTGTAATTGTATGCAATTACATTGAAGAAACTTGTGTATAAATATTGCAAATGACATTTTTTGACAAAAACAAGACAGTATATTAGAATAATAAAAAAGGTTATATCTTACTTTGATATAATTTCTTTTATCTCAATTTGATATAAATTAATTTAACATTTTAATGTAAATCGTAATATGTTTACTTTTGTTTCTTTAGTATATTTGCTGTATTTTTTTAATTAATAATGCTATATTTTTTCTTAATTAATACAAATACACTAACGCGATATACGTAATTACAGCAGACCCAGCACGTCAAGTAAAAATGAAAATGTTGACAATAAAATGGATAGGTGAGTGATAATTTTTATATTTTAAGAATTTATGTATATATGTATATATCAAACTAATATTAATATATTAATCTACTTTGATAAAAGGAGGATATGTATTTTAATTAACATACGCTTTCTCAATTCGTAGCAGTTATTATTTCTGCGTAATTTTAACCTCACTTACTATTTATATTTATGTATAATTTATGCATATACATATATTGTACAATTATCATAAATTTACTCTTTATTACTCTTGTGTAAAAATACTATTGGATTGAACAAACTGTTCGAACAAATAGTGTACAATAATGAATTTAAATGATTTTTTAACAATTTCCAATAATTTTTTTGTAAGTCTAATAGTATTTTTACATAAAGGTATAATTAAAATGCAATTTTTATCTTTGTTAAATTAGACGAAGTAAATGAATAAAATTAATCACAGAAGATAATAATTGGTTTGTTTATAAAATAAACTATAAAATTCAATTCGTGGTCAATACAAGCGTAAAGCGTGGATGAATTTGCAATAATAAATTTCTGAATAATTTTTTAAATTATTGACTATAAATATATTCATTTAGTAAAGATTGATATTGATTTCAATCAACGAAGGAATTTTGTGTGCGCAAGAAGTTAAATTGCAAACCTTTAAAAATGCATAAAGTAAAGAAAGCTAATCCGTACCATCACACATGCAACTGCATTTTAAACTTGTATTGATCTTGAGGTATTTAAGTTTAAATTAATTTTCATATTCCTGCAATTGGTACAATATATTACATACAAATTGTTACGGACGAAATTATAGCACGCGATCGGTATTGATTTAAATGTCTGTACTTAAAGCAGAGATTTATTCGTCTAACAATAAGCGTAGACTTATTGCGTCTTATATGATTTAAAGCGTCAAGCTGCAAATTCAAGAGGTGGCGGACGTGATGCGAGATAATGTCCAAAAAGTAATGGATCGCGGCGAGAGACTGGAGGACTTACAGGAGGCGAGCGATCGTCTGAACATGGCCGGAAACGAGTTTAGAGAGGCGGCGAAGAGAGCGCAAAGGAGAGCGTGGCTCCAGAATGTGAAATCGAGGATCATTATTATCAGCATCACTATGACAATCGTGCTTTTCATTGTTGGTAAGAAATACATAGCGCCGCGCAAGTATATAATCAGTTATATAAATGATAAAACAGAGTTATATGACGTATCTCATGTCTTATCTCTTTTCATATTTTTTAAGCCTCTCGTATCAGTTTGCACACGTTTTTGCTCGTTCATATTTTCCTTCTTCGACTTTTTTTTCTTCATGACATATATTAATATAAAATGAATTTAATGCAAATAAATAAGGAAAAAGTCTTCAAATACGGCCGAGACTAAATGAGGTGCCTATTAATATTTATATTATTTTTTTAATTTCAGCTACAGTAAATTGTTCACCGATTATTATCGATCTTTTAGCATCGAAACTTAAAGCTGAAATGTAGCTAAAATTTAAAAAAATTATAACTATTAATGGATAACCAATAAATCTAATCTCGGCTCTGGCTTTTTTCCTTTTTTATTTGTTGCATACGTAAAACGGCATCTTAGTTAAATTTCTTATGAATATATATATTGTATATATATATATATATATATATATATATATATATATAATATATTAATGAATATTAATTAGAAACTGATGGTTTGCGGCTCGGAAACAAATGGAAATTTTTATAAAAAAGATTCTAAATTAAAAACAATTTATAAGACATTTGTTCTGCAGATGTAAAACTAAATGTACATTTATGAAATTAAATTTTTTAATTTTAATTTTGTAATGCCAATTTTCATCACGATTAAGAATTATTTTTATTAGTTAAAAAAATTTATTTCTTTTTTATTTCATTCTATTTTACATATTTCTAGTACTATTTTCCAGTACTATATATTTTTAGTACTATTCTATTTTTTTACATATATTTTACACAATTTCTACATTTAAATAAATTATCTATTTAAACACTTTAAACCAAGGTTTCGAAATATCAATGTTACATCTACATTAAATCAGTCAGTTTTTGGAGTGTTGTCTAGTTAGATTAGCGCGTGTCATTTTCAGTTTTGGACATCATGGTACTTTACCTGGTTCTCAGATAACGAGCATAATGTTCCGAGCCTCGATCATTCGAATTAAGGTACATAATCTTTTACATTTTCCATGAATTTTGCACTGTAACTTTTACGTTCAAAGATCACAGTGATCACACGTTTAACGCCATAAAAATTTTTATTGCACTGCGCAGTGTCGAGTGCACTTTGCAATTTTTTTCTCGTATAAACTATTTCTATTTTGACTCGCTTTTATTTATCACATTTCCCCATATTTTAATGTAGCTGCATTTTTATCATATAATCACCGTCAATGTGCTCATGATGAAAATATTATTGCAATATCTTTTTTCCTTTTCAGTATCCATCGTTGTGAAGTACGCCTGACTGAGAAATCACCAATATGTTGTACATTAAGATCTTCTTCCCGCGAACCAATTATAAGTATTGTAGTTACATAAGTTTTTCTGTATAAATATATCTCTTCTATTATTTTTGTGTAAACACGTGTCGTCGTTTCTATATATGACTGCATTTCTTTATCGTTCACTAACAAAGGCAGAACGTCTCGATAGCGCTAACAGTAGCGCGCTCTCCATACACCGCACACTTAGCACCATAAAAATTGTACTGCTGTTTATATTTATCTTATACCAACAAATGATTGAAATTAAGGCGATGATAATTATTGGTTGGTCAATTTTATTTTTTAAGTAATTTTTTGAATTAAGTTATATTTATATATGTTTATTATCATTCTTAAATAATAAAGTTACTTCTGTTTTATTTGTCTCTCTTTTTGTTTAACGTATAGACTTTTTCCTTTATGGACAAAAGTCTTAATGCAACATAATTCTGCGCATATTTCTCGCGCATTATAATACACTTAATCATACAATTGATGTCAAACTGCAATGGAAATTGTAGAATGATATAAGCGTTTGTCATTTTTTTCATACTGTTTTTTCATACTGCGTCGTTTTTTAATACGTGAGATATTAACGCGTGAATATCTCACGTATTTAATCTGCATATGTGTCATTATATTACGTCTTGGTAAGTTTCAACAAGTTTATATATTTTAAGATTTACATATTGCACATCTTATATATTATACAAGGTGAACTTCCATATTTAAGGACAAGCTTAGATCTCATACTTGATCATTAAACGTATTACATAAATAAGCTCGATATTCATTTTGTATATACTTTTTTTTTTTACTAAGAAATAACGTATAATGAATGTAACGACGTGCCTTATACATGTCTTTCTCTTACTACTTTCTATTAGTAAAATAAAGCGTAGTTCTTTTCTAGAATTTTTTTATATTTTAAGAGTATAATTGTATAACAAAAATTATATAGCATTTATTTATACTTTTATAATTCTCGATACGATATACTTTTGATATCGATAAACTTTTAAGAGAATTTAGTTTCTCTTTATTTATTTATATTATTAAAAAAAAGAAAAAATTGTAATAAAATTTAGATATTAATATTCGTTTATTTAAAAGTAAAATTAAATGTAATAATTAAACTTTTTGTTAAAATAGGATATCGAAATTGTCGAAATTATCGAATAAACGTGGAATATAAACAAGAGTGAATAATACATATATTATATATATATATAAAAAAGTTTCAAATTATTTATAACAAACATAAAAAATGTTTCATTGGAATTCATTAAAAGCTTGCAATTTCGCAATGGAAAGTGATCATATTATAGAGCAATCTTATACGTGACAAGCTTTATATGTAGTGTGACCTACAAATTACGATAGGCGTGCGAGACGATCTTACGTCTGTTCAAAATAACCGATTTGATCGTTGTCTTCGTTTTTTTATGCCAATGAATCGCAGTGACGAGTTCTTCGCACGGTCGTATCAGCAACACGTAAGAAGCACGTTTTAATTAATCACCTTTCTTTGAATTTTTACCGGAGATTATTCAGCATACCACAAGAATTAATAGTTAGGAACAAAATGTTTTCATTTCTTTAATCTTCCATTCGTTATTCTCATATTCTATTCATTATATATTTGTTCTCTTATCGTTTAGATCTTATCTGACAATAAAATGATAAATAAAATGAAGTAAAATACATGAAATTTTTATTTCTTTCTTTTAAATTGTGCTACGCAGAAAATAATACAGTTAAATCATTTTATTTTGCTCTGGTCACGTGTGATATGATAATAACACAATTCCAGCACCGCATATAACTGATAAGACAAAACATAAATGATCACATTTACATATACATTACTATGCTATATATAGCATCTGTGGTTTAAGCTGGGTTCTATTGGAATGTGAGTAACTAAGAGAATTATTTATTTAGAGTCGTTTGAAGAGAATTCGTTGTAGAACTGTACACCGCAAAACCGAACCTACCGCAATTCCGCGTTTTCCCCTCATCTTTTCGAAGCACCCGCTGTCAGAAGCTCGCGGAGAGCTTTTGTGCGCATGTGTTATCCGTCGCAGCGTGCAATATCAGCTTTATCACTCTCACCCCCACCGCGCCGCAAAGTAGCTAGCGTAGGATGGCTCGTGGATTCACGATGACTACTACGTATACATCTGTCGCACATAGTGGACGTGGGGGATACGCGGAGTGCCGTATATGTCGGAGGCGTCCTTCAGCTCCGTTTCAGTCTCACCACGACGTTCGCGTTCAGCAGTTCTTAGCCGGTTCACTCGTTAAGTGCGATCGGTGTTTGTGAGCTGACGCCATTTCTGGGTTACACGCTCGTTTAATTATATACCGGGAGTTCTAGGACGAGGTAGCGTACGGAAAAAAAAAATGATAACGACAGATTTTCGCCAGATTATTATCACCGCGCTGAGCCTGCTGCTCGGTGGCTTTCTCCTTACCGGAAGTCGTCGGCGCTTTATCTACTTGCTTTACAAGACGCTGCCCAGAGATATTCTGTGAGTATGCATGTGAGAAAGTGCAGCGAACGGACAGGTTCAAATGTTCTACGGATAATTAAGCGCGAGCGCCCGTGATACGAGCTTAGACGTATATTGCTATATATACTATCTCATGCGCTGGTATCTGTTGCTCAAGATAGAGAACAAATTAGAAGAAAGTATATTAGGAGATATATTTTATAGTTTCATAATGTCATATAATTTTTATTTTATATTTAATTAATGTAAATAATACCATAATTTTATTTTATACTTTCTAGACATATTTTTCACGTTAAATCTAATTTATAGTACCTATAAAGTGACGATTATCGTTATCCAAGTTTTTTTATTGCTTTAAGATGTTCATTTATACAATATCAATTGAATAAAATTGTAAAAATTAAAAATATATTTGTTTTTAATATATAATATATATCATTTTATTTATTAACACATGTGAATTTGATTTTTCAATGCAATAATTGTTACAAATTATTTACTTGACAGTAGATGAAATATTAATGGAAAAAGCTGGAAATATTTTATCGCGTATAGCGATATATTTAAAGCTTGTAATAATAGGCTTTCGTGCTTCATGTTATATTATGGATTAATAATTTGCGTTCAATGCCCGAGTTGCATGATTGCCCGTCGCATTCGCTTCAATGCTTCGTTTGCCGTTGGAATGCACCATGCGTGAAAGATGAAGGAGTCTATAAGAGCTCTCGATGCATCTTCCTTTTATTACATTATAACTTTCTATTGAAATAACCATCTTGTTGCCATAATTTAATTTGTACATTATTAATAATTACATTTGCTAATTAAAATATTTTATATATGTTGATTAAAAAAATTTTAATTGTTTAATAATTGCGTTTATAATTGCTTACTTTTACATAAACACTATTGCTAAACAAAGTTTTTTATACTGTATTCAATTTCACAATATTTTATATTTATTTATTTATAAAAGCATACATTTTTTGCTACATATAAGAATCACAGAAATTTCTAATTCTAAAAAACTAAAGTAATATAACATAATATTTTATATAATAATAATAAGAATGTAATGTCACAAAATATTTCTTAATTTTATATGATATTTTGACTCAGTTGGTATCTTGATGATTGAATTGATATCCTTTTTATTTGTAAAAGAGCAAGATCAAAGTCTTAAATCGTTATCGGTGTCGGAAAAATAAATCTTTTATTTTTAGATTTAGATAATATAGAAGAGATATAGCAAGAATGTTTGCGCAGCATACATTAATGTATGCTAATAAATTTTATCGTTTCTTAGTTTTTATGTTATTATTTAGATTTCAAGACTTGCTTCTTAGAACTTGAGTATGTAAATGAATAGTAATATTTATACCGCTCTCTTATGCGCGCAAAAAAATATGTGAGACTTTAATCTTATAAAATTAGCTAAAGTGTTACAAAAAAAACACATTCTTTCTTACTTTACAATATGGTATAATATTAAATTTGCTATTGTATTTTACAATTTGGTTTTAAGACTTTTACAATATTTTGCATTCAAAATTTAGATTTTTAAATATTCTTATTCTTTAATATTTCATTAAATAGCAAAGCTAATCGGACATATGTCATATATTCCAATGGTAATTAATTTAATATAATTGCTATCTTAATTTTTAATGTATTATAATTTATCAATCAGTAGTATTGATTTTTTATTGCAACCTCAAAATCACTTAAGGCATATTGTTACCATGCATACGTAATATATTAACATGTGCAAAGTTGATGAATAATAATTAGAAAAAAAAAGATTTACAATTAAATGATAGCTTGACATTCAAGCTCTTACTAATTGCATAATTATACCTTTATTTATTATAGATATCTGTCATTAGTTTAAAGTTTCTACATTTGTTGATTAATATTTCTTACATAATGTAACAATACGCTAATAAATGTTAATTAAATTAGAGATATTTGCGTGCAGCACGAGCATTAATATGTTGACAATTTAATTTAATATTATGTATATTATTTGATAATACTTCTTATTTATTTAATTATTCTTATCGTTTTACAATCTTTTGTTATGAAATCTATTTAGTGTATAAGAGTTTTTATCATTGCATTTTCACGCGCCTTGTTTTGCCAGCCTTATCTCTCGTAATTCTATGTATCTTCTTGTTGAATAACAAAGTTTGAAGATCTATTAAGTGACAAAAACACTTAAAGTTTAAGTACACTGAATCTTAATACATATTTATAATAAAAGTACTTACTCACGTGTTGAAACATTGCGCATAAAAAGTAGGTACTGTTACATAGATGTCTGCTAAGATAAAATTTCAAACTGGTAAATTTTATATAAAGGGAATGCTAAGTATACCTGTTGTAAATAAAAAACTCATTTATCAATTTCAAAAAGTATTATTCTTTCGACGATATTATTAATCACGAAATAAATTTGCTTTGTCAGATTTGCAAGTATATGGATTATGATTCTCAAATTAAAAAGATATTAATGTGTGTATATGCGAATATATAAAAAAAATTAAAATAAAACAAGATATAATGTTAATCATATTATTTTCTTTGTTTCTTTTATTTGATATTCGTTTGAAATTATTTTTTGCAAAAATAAGTGGACGAAATTCCAATAGCGATTATTGCAATGTACACAATACGAGTGCGACATACAGAACAGTCAGTCTCGAATTGCTTTAGTCTCAATGATGTATACTACGTATTATATCGGTCGCATGGAATATTACGTGTCAACTAGTGCAAAGATCGCATTACGAAAGTCATGCACGCGCATACGCATTTCGTATGTGTATAACGGTATTGAAAGCGATCAAGATTTCTAAAGCATTCATTTAACGCACTCGTGTTGTGAAAAATAAATAAGGGCATTTCAGATTTTCGCTCTGTTATAATGGAAAGATTAATTTTAATCTGTTGATTTGTTATGATTTTTTAGAATTTTTCCTAATTACAATTTTCAGTTGATTTGTTGACAATATAATAATTATAAAAATTGAAATTTGTTAAGCGTCAAATATTTGTACTTCCAAATTGCAAATTTGTTATATATCATTTATTATTTAAATATTTCAATTGATAATAAATATATATTTGCATTTATAGATAAAATTATTATTGACAAACGATTAAAATAATCAGCAAAATAATCAAATTGTCTCTCTCTCTCTCTCTCTCTCTCTCTCTCTTTCTCTCTCTCTCTCTCTCTCTCTCTAGTGATAAGCAGGCTCAATTACGAGATTTGAGAGGCTATCATACATAAATTGACAGGTTTTATTAGAATTTATTTTTTTTTAAAAACACAGAAATCAGATAATATATTTACATATGTAATATATCAAAATACATGAAATTTGTTCTTTATACACTTAATCACATAAATGTGAAGTAATAGAAGAATAACTCACAAGAGGGAAAATGAACAATAAAGTAAAGTTCAGAATGCAATGATTCGACAATCTATGAATATGTATTACGTATTGGTATTTTTTCTTTTTTTCCGATTAAATTTTTCTTTACAATATTTGTAAAATTATGTTGTTGATACCTTATTCTTTTCGAAATATATGTCGAATATGATTACAATGTATCTATATATAAACCAACTGATATATTTATTTTCTTATCAATGCTGGCACTCGTAATTTGAGCAATGAGTTATTAATGTCCGCTTTCCATACAATTATCGCAATGAAGTAAAGTTCAGAAAGCAATGACTCGACAATCTATGAATTGGTATAGTCATGTGAATAATGTTTTGGTTCTTTCTTTTTTCTTTTCCGACTAGACTTTCGCCTTCATAATATCGTAAAAATCGTAAAAATATCGTTGCTAGTACTTTATTCTTTTCACGAAGTAAATAAAATAATTTATTATTACATTGTAATTTATTTATTACATTAATAATTGTTCAATGCATTGATTTGTATAACACACACACACACACACACACACACACACTCTTATTATATGAGAATCACGCACTTATAAAACTAGTGGTAAATCGAAAAGAACAATAAAAAGAGATTATCTAATATGGTTATAATTTGTATCTATACATAAACCAACTGATACTTTCATTTTTTTATCAACTTTGACAAATTCGGAATTTAAGCAATGACTCATCAATGTTTGCTTCCTGTATATAATTATCGCAATTTGCGATAAGTGACTAAAATAGAACGAGTTTTTGTTCTAGAACGTGTTTTTGTTTTTTAATATAGCATGTATACTGCAGTTTTCAATAAATATTTCTTGCTCTTCTTCTCCCTTGCTTTCTCTCTCTCTCTCTCTCTCTCTCTCTCT